TTTTGTTTCTTTCTGTTAACGGAAATGGTTTGTTGTCGCTGAGACATTGCGGTGGTGTTATAGTTAACTGATTGTATATCGGTGTGTTTTTAGGTACTCACCACCTGTCTCTTGGTGGTTATGATAGAGAATGTGAGTGTGTACACAATTCTCAGTTAATATAACATCGTTAGAGGTAGTTTGGGTTTTTCCTGGCTGCTGTCAATTGATTATCAGGTGGTATAGGAGAGGGTAGTGCCTTCAACCCAGGCTGGATTGTAGCAGAGATGCGTGTGGCACAGCAGTGTGGATATGATTGCTGTCTTCCATCAGGAAAGTCACGAGAAAAAAAATTAGTAAAAGGCAAAAATAATAAGATAGAAGAAAAATAAATTTTAAAAGGTGGGAAAGCAGGAAAATAACAGGATGATAAAGTTATTTTAATAACTTAGAAAAATAGGAAAGGGAAATAAAAATAAAGGAAGTGGGGGGTAATAGAAAGAAATGCAATTAGGAAACTAGAAAGATGGGAAAAGAAATGAGAAAAAGAAACTAAAAGATGTGAGAAAGAGGAAGGGTGGGAACACAAGCAGCAGAAATGAAAGGATAAAACCAAGGGAAGAAAAAGAAAAGGAAAGAAGGCGGGGAGTAATAATATGTGTTAGGCTGGGTGGACTAGATAAACAAATCCAGGCACTCAACATGTATAAGGAAGAGCTTTAGATCAAAGAGTAATTGTATATTAAAACATCCTAGCCCAGTCTAGATCAAGTCCAGAAGCACGATATTAGCCCATATGTCCAATACCAGCCTATAAATTCCTCTTCAGACTCAGTCAACACATCAGTGATGCCGAATGCAAAGATCACAGGCCAGTGGGTGGAAATTCTTGTGGATTCAGTTGTGGTAGAAGCATCTCAGTGCTGACGTGGGTCTCCGTGTGGCTCCTCCAGCTCCAGGGCTCTGGTTCTATCGGCATAGCTCATGTGGCTTGTCAACCGGAATGTCTCGCAGGGAGAGAGTGTGTGTCTGGCCTCCAAGAAGACAGGAGTTCCCAGAATCCTCAGGAGAAGGCCATGCCCACATAGAGGCCCCATTGATTGTGACCTGATTGACAAACTAGATTCCACCCCATTCACACGTTGACAGATTATGTAACTGACACGGAATACTTGTCCTGGACCAATATTTAGAAGAAAACTGATGTCAGGCCACCCAGTCTGCGTGAACACCCTCTGCCAGTCCGGGGTGGAGTTGGGGGAGTGGGTGGGACACCCAGACCTAGGCAAGAGTTCTTGCTGATTTAGAAGTAGTTCTTGCTGCCTCAGAGGGTAGCTGTGTCCAGATTTTTTATTCCCAGAGGGAACTCTTTCAGACCCAGGGCAGCTGGGAGCAGGATAGCTGGGTATGGAAAAGAAATTTTTGGATTTCCAGGGATGGCCTCGGACAATTCACTCATCCTGCACGACATGTTCTACTTTTCTAATGAGAGAGTGTCCACTTGCCCCCAGATGCAGAGTGGTGTAGCATGAGGGCCAGGTCACATCACACCAACTGATAATCACTCACCTAGCTCTTCTCTCTAGGTCTGGTGTCTTCATGGTTTTGCTTTGGTCTGCTAATCAAAAGGTAAGCAGTTCAAAACTACCAGATATTTTTCATGATAAAGATGGGGCATTCTACTCCCATGAAGAATTATAGTCCCAGAAACTCACAGGGACAGTTGTACCCTGTCCTGTAGGTTTGCTATGAGTCAGCATCGACTCGATGGCCGTGAATGTGGATTTTTATGGAGCTCCTCTCTCATTGCTTTTGCTCAGCTTCTTTTCCTGGTTTGTATTCAATCCACTTCTCTGTCCATGCTTCTGGTCTCAGTTTGAGAGTTACCATTTTCATTTGGTCTTTCATGTGTGAAGGGGGTGCATAGTGCATGTGCCTAGTCTGCCATCTTGCCCAAAGTCCTGTTTAGCTCTTTCACTTCATCATTTTTCCATTCACTTTAGCTATTTTACCTTTAAGAACAAATGTCAGCGTTTCTTCTGATATTCACTTTAGTCTTTTCTCTATTTCCCATCTTTCAGTGATATTTAGGGTTCTTCACGTAAGATGTCCTGGATCCATCCCACAACTTCTCTGGTTTTCAGTCATTAGTGTTCAGTGTGTCAAATCTGTTCTTGAGATGGCCCCTAAGTTTAGGTGAGATATACTCAAAATTGTACTTTGGCTCTGGTGAACTTGTTTTTTAGCTTGATCTTGACTTTGGATATGAATAATTCATGATCTGTTCTGCAGTTGGCCTCGCCCTTGTTCTGTCTGATGGCATTGATTGTTTCCACCCTCTCTTTCCATAGTTGTAGTGGGTTCGATTGCTGTGTAGCTCCTCTGGCGAGGTCCCTGTCTATAGCTGTGTATGTTGCTGGGGGAAAAAAAGTATTTCCAATGAGCAGATCACGGATGTTCAGAATGCTGTCATATGATCTCTGATAGGAATTCTTTCACATTTTCCAATTATTAATAGATCACCTTCACTTCTGACTTTCAAATTCCAATAACTAGTAATTGTCGGTGTATCTTGATTACATCTTTGATAAATTTTAGACTGCAGAATTTGGCAAAAACCCTCAATTTCTTTGTTTTCAATGGAAGTGGTTGGTGCATAAATACGAGAGGACTTCAGAAAGTTCACCGAAAAATTTAATTGTCTTGTACTTCCATTTTCCACTAGCGTTTGAAGCTCCCTGCGGGACTAGTAATCATATCTGCTGGTGTCCCTAGTAGGTGTGTAGATACTTGTGTGTAGTGCCATTATGACTAATGGCACTGTCTTTCAGTACAGATCTTGAAATGTCCTTTTGGGCAATAATGTGACACCATTCTCCTCCGATTGTTATTTATTGCGTTGTAGAACATAGGACTCTGATTCAGAATGGCCAATGCCAGTCCATTTCAGCTTAGAATACGCATTGTTAAGGTTTTCATTTCCTTTTAAGCAACTTCAGTTTTCCTAGAGTCATACTTTTCAGTTCACAGTTTGATTATTAATGGATGTTTGTAGAAATCCATTCTCACTTTGACTCATGCCACATCAGCATATGAAGGTCTCAAAAGCTTCACTCTATTCATGTCATGAAAGTCAATTTCATTTTAAGGTGACAGCTCTTCCAGATATATTTTTAGTGCCGTTTTACTTAAGGACCTACCTTTTAGCACCAAACCAGAGAATGTTCTGCTGCTACAGCAGTTCTCGCTGGCCTGTATTTTGGAAATAGACTTTCAGTTCCTTCTCTCGAGTGTTTCTTGGTCTGGAAGCACTGCTATAACGAGACCATCATGGAGGACCCTGCCAGCATTTGAAATACCTTTAGCACAGCTTCCAGCATCAGAGTAACATACCAGCTACCACTGTACAACAAGATGAAATAAAAGTGGTGATTAGAAATAATAAGGCTAGGAAATTAAAAAGTGCCATAAAGGGGCAACGTAGCTAAAAGGAATGACTAAACCCTAATGAAGACCGAACATGATGGTGGGACAAGAGGAAAGTAAAAGGAAATAGAGGAAAGAACCAGGAGGTAAAGGATATTTATAGAGATCTAAATCCAGGGATGTACATATGTAAATATATGTATATATAACGAGAGGGGAATAGAACCATGTACTCATATCTATATGTTAAGAATTAAGGTTGCAGGTGGACATTGGACCTTGACTCAAGTACTCCCTCAACACAAGAACACTTTGTTCTAACAATCCGGCATTCTGTGACGCTCACCTTCCCTACACGGTTGCTGAAGACAAAATGGGTGCATAAGCAAATGTGATGAAGAAAATTCATGTTGCTCAGCTACGTCTGCGGTCTTTTAAAGGCTTGAAAATAAACAAGTGGCCATCTAGTTGAGAAGCAAAAAATCCACATGGAATAAGCACACCAGCCTGTGTGATCATGAGATGTCTTTGGGATCAGGTATCAAGCATCTAAGACCCAGAACAAAATCATACCCAATGTGAATTGGGGAGGGGTGGGGGGCGGGGCGCCCATGAAGCAGAGACCCAAAGCCCATCTGTAGACAATTGAACACCTCCTCACAGAGGGATCACAGGGAAGAGATGAGCCAGTCAGGTAGCAGTATAGCACCGACGAAACACACAACTTTCCTCTAGTTCTTTGGTGCTTCCTTCCCCCCACTATCATGACCTCCATCCTACCTTACAAATCGGATTAGACCAGAGCATGCACACTGCTACAGATATGAGCCCGCAACACAGGGAATCCAGCATAGATAAATCACTTAGGGCCAACAAGGAGAGTAGAGATACCAGGAGGATTAGGGGAGGGTGGGGGGAGAAAAGGGGAATAGTTCACAAGGATCAATCTAGAACTCCCTCCCAAGGGGACAAACAACGGAAAAGTGGGTAAGGGGCAACGGAGGACAACATAAGATCTGAAAATAATAATCTATATTTATCAAGGGTTTATGAGGGAGGGCCGGTGGAGGAGAGAGGGAGAAGAAATGGGGAGCTGATATCAGGGGCTCCAGTGGGAAGAGAATGCTTTGAAAATGATGATGGTGGCCTATGTGCAAATGTGCTTGACACACTGGGTGAGTGTATGGATTGTGATAAGAGATGTAAGAGCTGCCAATAAAAGTATTTAATAAAAGTTTTTTTCACAAAACGGGGAAGATTATTTAGTAGCAAAAAAGATAGTAAATTACTTGGGAAAAATAAAAGGAATAAAAAAAATGGAAAAGGTTCATTTGTGGATAGGCCCTTATGTTGAAACTACAAAGTCAGTTGTTTCTGATTCACTCAATATTTCTGTGGAGCTATCTTTCATACTTACAGATTGAATTTGAGAAACTGTGATCTTAAAAACTTGTAAAATTGCATCTCTGAATATCTCTGAATGATAATGTAATGTGTTATACAGGTTTGCTGTACCAAATCTTTACAAATTTAATCACAATTGTCCTTGAAAAGTAAAAGGTTAAAAATTAAGAATTTTTTACTTTGTATTTTAGCATAAGGAGGCATCAAGAAAGGAGAGCAATTTTGACTCCAATTTTGACAGACTTTTCTGTCCGAATTACTGGAGCACCTGCCATCATTTTCACCAAAATAATTTCTCCAGAAAATGTACATCCTGAGGTTAGTGAATTTAATTTTTATTTTACTCTAAATAATGGAGGAACTCCTCTCTGTCATGTATCTCACAGTTTTAAACTCTCATGATTTTATATTAGGTTGTTGATAACATTGTTGCTAATATTTACTGAGCACTTTCTAGGTATCCGAGTACTTTTCAGTTGTTGCTTTCTATCTAATAACGCATTTAATCCTCTTGATAATCTTTCAGGTATCAATTGCTACCATTCTCGTTTTACAGATCGGGGAAAAAGACATAGCATGTAGTCAACTTGCCCACCCTGCTCTTTGAACGTCTGAAACCCCTTTCTAATGAAAACCACAATAATTCTATCATGAAATAGAGTTATTACAGGAATGACTTACATGGAGAATTCTTCGTGGATTAATTAGTCTTCACAGCATGTGCATGATGTAGATAATGCTGCTGTTAGGTGCCATCACAACAGAGGGAAACACTGTCTGTCCCTGGGCCAGCGTCACAATTGTTCTTGTGTTTGAGCCCATTGTGCAGCCACTGCACTCGTCCATCTTATCTTGTCAAAGGCCGTCTTATTTTTCACTGCCCTCCACTAACCAAGCATTTTGTCGTGCTCCAGAGGCTGGCCTCTCCTGAAACTATTAGATAATGTTAGTGTCCACATTTTATAGGTGAGGAAATGAAGGTTACAGAATGAGGACTGTGAAATAAGTGATCAGTGTCTTGTAGCCCACGACTTGATGCATCCAAGTTTCATTATTGTGTACAGCCTTCATTCCTCACTGATAACTCTCTGATAATAAGGAGGCCAAACATAATTTTAAGCATATTATTCATAGAAATTTATGTCATGTTAAACATTATAAACTGTTTTGTTACTCAGAGGTTTAAAGGGCACCATTATGAAAAGTTCATAAAAATTAGATCTCTAATATACTAAATCAGGTTGATAGTAAATTATCTCATGATGTTTGTAATAGCCTTTGGAAAGTTAGCTTAGACCAGGTATCTTAAATATCCGTCAAAACCCAAACAAACCCAGTGCCATGGAGTAGAAGTACCTGTGTGGGTTTCGTGACTGTAGTCATTACAGAGTTGAATGTCTCCCCTTCCCAGAGAAGAGCTGGGAGTTTCCATAGCAGCTCAAGGCACAATCAGTACACCTTAAAATGCCCATGTCCGAGAGAGGAGCAGGATGCCATTGAGTAGGTTTTGACCCATAGGGACCCCATGGAACAGATGAATTACCATAGGATTCCCTTGGCTGTAATCTTTCCCAAGCAGAGCATCATGCCTTGCTGTCAAGGGTTATTAGATAGGTACAAATTTGGAACCTTTGGTTAACAGCAAAATATTTAAGCATGACACCACCAGGGCTCTTTAGTAAGTTTATTAAGATTTTTCATTACTTAGTAGTAGTACTGGCTTAGGATTTGTTTTCAAACTCCTTGTGTAGTATCTATTTTAAAAGACTAATGCTGCTATGAAAATATGAATTATAAGCATTTTGTAACTAGTTTTTTCTTCCACTGAAAATACTTTTTGTTTGGGTTAACAAATACTTGTAGTCATGAAAATGAGGAACAAAAGCAAGAATATATCAAAGTGTTTTAAATACATCTCATCTTAATGAATCTCATCTTCTGATTTAGTGTCATTGTTGCAAATTTCCTATTTCCAGGTGAATAATGCAAGAATCTAGAGATGAGCAAACTTAATTATAGGACAAGCCAAGCCTCATACTAAGAAATATCACCTTAAAGCCATTCACTTAGATTTTTAGTGTGTCAGCTTCCTTATATACACATACAGCCTTAGCTGCCACAGTGGCCCTCAAAATTCTTATGACGGCAAGTTGATCAAAAGAGATGATATTTATAAGAGGAAGCAGAAAAGCCTAATTTTCTGTAAAAATGAAATTTCTGTTACTTGCTTGGTATTTACAACTACTGATTCTACCAATTGCCTTCCTACTATTTAATCTACTCATATTGGATTACTCATTTATCAGAGTGTTTACAGGAGGTGCTCCACTGTATGTGCATTCAACTGGGAAATACTACATTAACTATTAAACAGGGCAAAAGACATCTTCTGAATAAGTGTGCTTCATAATCCTCTTAATCATTACTTGAGGAGTAAAATAAGAATTTCATTACACTGAGTAAATACAGGGGACTTGTATTTAATTAACAAAATACAGTATTAAAATACAGGGGACTTGTATTTAATTAACCAAAAAATGATGATTATTTCAGACCTGCTGTTTTAATGACTCTATTAAAAATTGCTGTAAGCTGCCTGGCTTGTATTTGGCCAACCATAGTCTCCTGAAATCTATTTCCTTGCATGACAGAAGTAAGGACGTTTCATAGCATTTGAACACTGACCACATGCACTTCATGACAAGAGGCAGGGCTACTTCTGCTTATTAAGTGAAGCCTCTGGAGTGCTTTTCCATTTCTGTTTTCTTTCTCTGAATGGTTTTCCACTGATAAATGTTCAAGTGATTCAGTTATGAAGAAAAGCACCGGTTAAGTAATAAGCATCTTACCTAATGCTGCCAAGATTTGAGCCGATTGAAGAAGAAGTGAAATTAATTAGTCTAGCTCTCTCTGGCTTCAGCACTGTAATTTGTCGTAAATCATTTAAAGTCTGTTCCTTTGGGGAATACTCATAGCACTTGTGATTGTAATTGCCTGCCTGCAGCTGACTGTTTACATCTGCCTGTCCCGCTTCAAGAACAGGTTGCCTCTTAGGGCTAAACTTATTCTCTGTGATACACCTAACACTCTAGTGTAGTGCCTGGTACCTAGGCAGTGCTCAGTAAACATTTATTTCTCTGAATAAATGGACAACATGATTTACATATTGAGGTATGTAAAATGCTAAAGGGTTATTATAAGGTGAAAAAAAAATTAATGTTTACTTGTTCTGTAACTAAAGGCCTTGAAAGTAGGCTGTCATGACTACTTAAGAGATTAATCCATTAAACTGAGTATGGTTGCTATTTTTGCTATTCTTTTTAATATTTGACTTTGAGTCCCAGGAAACATCATCAACATAATAAAGATCCAATCATCAAGAATGACAAATTATCCTATAATAGCTATCATGAGTCTTTATCTGTATGCATCTGTTTTTCCCTTCAGGAGATTTTGGTGTGTGGCCATTCCTTGGAAGTGAACATAACCACAAACCTGGACTTCTTTCTGAGTGTGGCGCAAGTTCAGCTCTTACATCAGTTACTGCTCGCAAACATGACTGGAATGGAACCATCACACAAGGCCACAGAGGTAACGATTACCTGATTTTGATTAGCTGAGTTGCATCTGTGCCAACTTCACATTCATAGTCAGGAAACTATAATTAAACCAAGTGATTTCTGCTAATTATTCTATGGTTAATTTTATTTGAGGCTTAGTCATAAATCAGTTTGGATTAATAGTCTTTATTTTTGAAATTTCTTTGGTCGCTTTTTTCCCTATTTATCTAGCACCTTTGGAAAATTTCTGTGGCCTGCCCTCAGAAAAAGCTCTGGCAAAGTAGGATTTTATTACCCTTCTGAAACTTCTAACATATAATGCAAGAAACCTGGTATAGCTTTCACTTACTCAGATGCATTACCAGGGCAGGGCCTCTTTTGGAAGCAAACTTTGTCAGAGTGCTATGGGGATTTCTTCAATAAGCAACTTGTAAAGCTCTCGTTCCCCATACTCAGTGAAGAATAGACACAATCATAAAACTTGAATGCCTGCCTCGAATTTTAATTTTGATCCAGAGTTCACTGGAAGCCTGCTTTGTAACCACAAAGGATGTCAGTGTGAGACCAGCAAAGCTGCCTGTGAATGCTGCTCAGGATATGCTCGCTCTGCTTTTTGTCTTTTACTATTAATATTATTTTTTTAATCATATCTGTACTTAGAGCAAAACTGGGCTGAAGAAATTGCTTATATGTGAAAACAATGTTGCTTTGATTCTTTACACAAGTTAGGCAGAAGGTTCTAGCTTCTACAGTTTAAGAAGGTAAAGATCATGCCCTACCAGGGGGAATGTAACAAAGGAAGTGCTAAAACCCTGGTGGGGATGGAGCATGATAGTGGGACAGGAGGAAAATCAAGGGAAATAGAGGAAAGAGCTGGGAGGCAAAGGGCATTTATAGAGGTCCAGATAAAGACATGTGCATATGCAAATATATTTATATGAGGATGGGGAAATAGATTTATGTTCCTATATTTAAAGGTTTAGTATTAAGGTAGCAGAAGGACATTGGGCCTCCACTCAAGTACTCCCTCAATGCAAGAATACTTTGTTCTATTAAATTGGCATTCTTTGATACTCACCTTCCTGACACAACCGCTGAAGACAAAGCGGGGGAATAAGCAAATGTGGTGAAGAAAGCTGATGGTGCCCGGCTATCAAAAGATATAGCATCTGGGGTCTTAAAGGCTTGAAGGTAATCAAGCGGCCATCAAGCTCAGAAGCAATAAAGCCCACATGGAAGAAGCACACCAGCCTATGCAATCACGAGGTGTTGAAGGGATCAGGTATAAGGCATGATCAGAACAAAAAATCTTACCATAGTGAATGATGGGGGGAGTGCGGAGTGGAGACCCAAAGCCCATTAGTAGGACACTGGAGATTTCATGCAGAGGGGTCTCGGGGAGGAGATGAGCCAGTCAGGGTGCGATGTAACAACTATGAGAAATACAACTTTCCTCTAGTTCCTAAATGTTTCCTCCCCGCTCCCACTATCATGACACGAATTCTACCTCTTAAGTCTGGCTAGACCAGAGGATGTACACTGGTACAGATAGGAACTGGAAATATAGGGAATCCAGGGCGGATGATCCCAATAGGACCAGTGGTATGAGTGGCGATACTGGGAGGGTAGAGGGAGAGTGGGTAGAAAAGAGGGAACCGATTACAAGGAACTATATGTGACCTCCTCCATGGGGGACGGACAAACGAAAAGTGGGTGAAGGGAGACATTGGATAGGGCAAGATATGACAAAATAACAATTTATAAATGATCAAGGGCTCATGAGGGAAGGGAAGCGGGGAGGGAGGGGAAAAATGAGGACCTAATGCCGGGGGCTTAAGTGAATTGGAAATGTTTTGAGAATGATGAGTTCAATGAATGTACAAATGCGCTTTACACGATTGATGTGTGTATGGATTATGATAAGAGTTGTATGAGCCCCTAATAAAATGATTTTAAAAATTAAAAAAAAAAGAAGGTAAAGATGGCAGGGGTAGAAACAACACAAGTGACCATGGGAATGGATTGACAAAATGGAATACATGCATACAACGGACTCCTATTCCGCCGTAAAGAGAAATGAAGTTCTGATCCATGCTACTACGTGGGACAAGCTTGAAAACAGACATTATGCTGAGGGAAATCAGACAGACACCAAAAGAGCACTCTTAGGATTCCCCATATGAAGTAACTAGAATAGGCAAATTCATAGAGACAAGAGTGTGGTAGTGGTTATCAGAGGCTAGGGGCAGGGGGAATTGGGAGCCAGTACTTATGCGATACAGTACTTATGCGATACAGTTTCTGTTTGGAGTCATGAAAAGCGTTGGCTGCACAACATGACACGTGTAATTCAGACACTGAATGGTCTGCTTATGAAACATGTAAGTGGCAAAATGTTTGTTTTACATACATGCCACCATAATATGTTCAAAACAAGAGAATTCACCTCTTACCCCAATTTCACTCGATGTCCGGCAATGTGGCAGGCATTTTCATCTAAATTAACCCCTCTCTATTTGGGTGTGTTTGCACAGAAGTCTTATGAAATAGACAGGGGCATTTTGCAAAAGCAGATCTCGGGGCACAGGGAGGATCAATGAGCTGCCCCAAATCACATTCACACACAAGTAGGAAATGACAGGTGGACCCGAGATTGAAATCGAGCGTAGGTCTCCAACTCAGTGTTCTTTCCTTTAGGCTGTGTAGGTCCATCATAACAGCTATTAGCGTAGTATGTAGGTAGCTATTATTCTATCAGGTCTCTTTATTTTATTTTAATTATTGAGCTAAAGTATAGCTTTTGGGGAGAAAGACGATCCTCTCAGCTCCCATAAAGATGTACAGTCTTGGACTCCTGGGGAGGGGCGCTATGAGTCAGAATCGACTCAGTGGCGGTGGGTTTGGTTTTTCTGGTTTTATAGTAGGGCTTTTAAGTTTTGTAAATGGGGATTCTTTAACTTGGGCATCGCTTACTTATCTGATTTCTGTTTACTCATTATGTTCTTAAAAGAACTCTAGAACTATGTCTTCTTTGAAATACTCCCCTCCCCCAATATGCCTTAGGCAAGCCATAAGAATATAATTATGTGACATGAAAATAAGCAGGTAGAAATACTTCCCTGTGACATATTTTATGAAATCCATGGACCGAGTTGATTTGGAAACAATATTGTGCATTCCTGCTTTCTTTGTAAAATGAGCCCTAAGGGTTGCAATGGTTCATGGTCAAGCGCTTGTCCACTCACCAAAAGATCAGTGGTTCAAACTCACTGGCGGCTGCTGGAGAGAAAAGACCTGCTCATTTACTCTTGCAAAGTTCACTTCTGCTGAAACACTGTGGGGGTAGTTCTCTTGCATGCTGTAGATCCACTGTTCCAACTCAATGACCTGGAACAGTAATATTATTTGTGCCTATTTGATGACTTTCGCTTATCAAAAAACTCATAGACTACTGGCGTTTCTTGGAGTTCATACAACCAAGCAAATTGGTTGTGAATTATTACTTACCTACTTCTGATTCCTGTTAGTAGGATCTGACTTGGGTAAGTAATGGGGCGCTCAGTGTTAGATTAAACAAGCATTAACCTGGATGTGAGTCATTCCTGATAGCCCCAGAATCTGGTTGGGTGCTTCCTGCCGCCCCCCAGTTTGGTAAATGTATGTTGTCCTTTGTTCTTTATTGAAGATGATATTAAATGTACACTCTATAATGAGGGAGGGTGGTTTGGTCTTAGTTCTGCCCTATTGGAAAACTAAAGGATTCTTGATGGGCTGTCAAGTTGAAAGGTCACCTGTTAATTGAATTGTCTTAAACTTCAGCATCTCTCCTTTTTTCTGTTTTAAAAATATCTCTATTTAGAAATTTAACATCTATAAGTTTATAAAACTATAAGCTATATCTTGTTTTTTGTCTACTGCGAATAGTGTCTGGGATGATGAAGCTGAGCACAATTCCCTGAAAATTTGGGAAGTTAGAACAGCCAGCCAGTGCCTATGCTCATGATAGCAAAGGCTTACTGGCTTCTCTGATATTAAGTTTTCTCTTTAAGTTTTGGACCTGTAACTTAGTGGGGTAAATTTATGAATATTTCACTTTTTTAAAAGACCTTCAGAGTAATAGAACAATATGACTCCACTCCTAAATTAATTGCTGGAGATGGACATTGGGCCTCTACTCAAGTACTCCCTCAATGCAAGATTTATGAATATTTCACTTTTTAAAAAGACCTTCAGAGTAATAATAGAACAATATGATTCCACTCCTAAATTAATTGCTGGAGATGGACATTGGGCCTCTACGCAAGTACTCCCTCAATGCAAGAACACTTTGTTCTATTAAACTGACATTCCTTGATGCTCACCTTCCTGACACGATCACTGAAGACAAAGTGGGTACATAAGCAAATGTGGTGAAGAAAGCTGATGGTGCCCGGCTATCAAAAGATAGAGCGTCTGGGGTCTTAAAGGCTTGAAGATAAACAAGCAGCCATCTAGCAGAGAAGCAACAAAGCCCACATGGAAGAAGCACACAAGCCTGTGTGATCACGAATTGTCGATAGGATCAGAGAACATAGGCATCAAAGAACAAGAACATCCTATCATTGTGAATGAGGGGGAGTGCGGAGCGGAGACCCAAAGCCCATCTGTAGGCAACTGGACATCCCCTTACAGAAGGGTCTCGGGGAGGAGATGAGCCAGTCAGGGTGCAGTATAGCACCAATGAAACATACAACTTTCCTCTAGTTCTTTAATGCTTCCTCCCCCCCGACTATCATGACCCCAATTCTACCTTACAAATCTAGTTAGACCAGAGGATGAACATGGATACAGATAAGAACTGGAAACACAGGGAATCCAGGACAGATAAACCCCTCAGGACCAATAATGAGAGTAGCGGTACCAGGAGGGGAAGGAGAAGGTGGGGTAGAAAGGGGGAACTGATCACAGTGATCTGCATATAACCCCCTACTGGGGGACAGACAACAGAAAAATGGGTGAAGTGAGACATTGGACAGTGTCAGACATGACAAT